CTTCTGGGAGGGGCAGGACAACAAGCCAGCCCCCCCCCCGCTCTCCCAATTCCTCTTCTCTTCTCTTTTGTGCCCCCTCCCCTCTTCTTTGAGGCCAGGGCTCCCATGAGGGGGCAGTCCCCGTTTCTCTGGGTGCGGGGGAACTGCAACTCCCAGGAATCAAGGCCCGTTCCCTCCCAAACCCCCCCCCCTCCAGTATGCCCAGTTGGTCACGAGGGTTCCCTGTGCCCAGTTTAAGTCCAATCCATTTGGGGGGGGGCGACTCACAGGTTCTCTGGTGGGGGAGGGGGCAGGTTACAGTTTCTCTAAGGACAGGTGAACTGCAACTCCCAAAATGAATGTTCACTCCCCCCGAATCCCTCCAGTATATTCAGTTGGTCATCAGGGGTCTATGCCCCAAATCAGTCATATGTGAGGGTCACGTCTGTTGAAGGGGTGAAAGTACTGCAAATCCTATCATCCATGTTCCACCCTCCCCAGGCCTCAGCTGGATGTAAAGTGGGTCATTGGGGGTCTGTGTCCAGGTCCATCAGTGGTGGGGTTCGCAGTAGTCCCTGGAGGCAGGTGAAGGGACTGCAAACCCCATCATCCATGTTCCATCCCCCCATGTTTTCAATTTTCTCCTAAAGGAAAGGAGGGAGGTCGCTGATCTAATTTCCCCGGGAAGTGAATTCCATAGGTGAGGGGCCACCACCGAGAAGGCCCTGCTCCTCATCCCCGCCAATCTCACTTGTGATAAAGGCGGGGCCGAGAGCAGGGCTCCCCAGAAGATCTCAAACTCCGAGGTGGGACGTAAAGGGAGATGCGTTCGGACAGATACGCTGGGCCGGAACCGTGTAGGGTTTTGTAGGTCAAAACCAGCACTTTGAATTGTGCTCGGAACTGGATCGGCAGCCAGTGGAGCTGACACAACAGGGGGGTGGTATGCTCCCTGTATGACGCTCCTGTAAGTACTCTGGCTGCCTCCCGCTGGACTAGTTGGAGTTTGCGAACAGTCTTCAAAGGCAACCCCACGTAGAGTGCGTGGCAGTAATCTAATCGGGATGTGACAAGAATGGCCAGATCCAACTTCCCAAGGTACGGGTGCAACTGGTGCACAAGTTTTAGTTGTGCAAAAGCTCTCCTGGCCACCGCTGAAACCTGGGGTTCCAGGCTCAGCGATGAGTCCAGGATCACTCCCAAGCTGTGAACCTGAGTCTTCAGGGGGAGTGTAACCCCGTCCAGCACAGGCTGTAACCCTATGCCCTGTTCGGCCTTACGACTGACCAGTAGGACCTCTGTCTTGTCTGGATTCAGTTTCAATTTGTTAGCTCTCATCCAGTCCGACACAGCAGCCAAGCACCGGTTCAAGGTCTGGACAGCCTCCTTGGTGACAGGTGAGAAGGAGTGACAGAGTTGGACCTCATCTGCGTAGAGATAACACCTCATTCCAAAACTCCGCATGATCTCCCCCAGCGGCTTCATGTAGATGTTAAATAACATTGGGGACAGAATCGAACCCTGAGGGACTCCACACGACAACGGTTGTGGGGCCGAACAGGTGTCACCCAATAACACCTTCTGGGACCGTCCCTCAAGAAAGGATCAGAGCCACCGCAAGGCAGTGCCCCCGAGCCCCATGTCCATGAGGCGCCCCAGAAGGAGACCGTGATCGACGGTATCAAAGGCCGCAGAGAGGTCCAGCAGAACTAAGAGGGACACACTCCCCCTGTCAAGCTCCCGGCGAAGATCATCCACCAAGGCTGTCTCAGTTCCATGTCCCGGCCTAAAGCTACATGTTGCTGTGTCCCAGTCTGGTTAAATGGAAACGAAAGAAAAGAGTAAGACTTGATTTCTAATATATGTGATTTCATAATGCTAATTTGCCAACTGTAGAACACGCAACATATAATTGTCCATGTAAGAAACAATCTGTGTCTAAATCTCAACTGCACAATTCTGTCGATTCGCCTTGCGCTTTGTAGATTGTGATTGCCAACGCCAGTCAAATTGGGAATTGCAAACTCTTAAATTGAAATGGCATATCCGTTGGAATCCTGGGAATGCGAGGAATGAGGCCAACTTCCCCTTAGGAAGGTCCTGCGGCCTACTCTGGCTAAATGGGAGGGAAAGGGAAGAGAAAGAGCGGGCTTCTAATAGATGTGATTTCACAGTGCTTGTGGGTATACAATATTTACTGTTATTCCTTTGTCTGTGCAGATCTAGAGATTGTCTGGTACGCAACATATAATTGTACATTTTATTCAACCATAAATTATTTTATACTGAGTCTTATATTTTGCACCTTGTTTTTCTATGTTGTACACCGCAGTGAGTCGCCCCTGGGCTGAGAACTGCGGTATATAAGCAAAGTAAATAAAATAAATAAATACCCCCTCTAGATAATATAATAATACCATTTTGTAACAAGCACCCCGTTTTTCTTAGGTAGGCTTCCACAAAAGAAACTTCAGAAAATAAAACTCAGGCTCTCCTCGGTTCTGGCCCCGCTTACCTCTCCGAACGCATCTCCACCTATGAACCGACTAGAACATTAAGATCGTCTGGGGAGGCCCTGCTCTCGATCCCGCCTGCGTCACAGGCGCGTTTGGCGGGGACGAGAGACAGGGCCTTCTCAGTGGTGGCCCCTCGGCTATGGAATGCCTTACCGGCAGACATCAGACAGGCACCTTCGTTGCTGACGTTTCGGAGAATGGTTAAGACCTGGCTTTATGAACAAGCGTTTGGTTAAGCAGTGCAACCAATCAAAGGAAGACGGTAAATGGAACATAGGAATGGCACAAGGATTATGAGAACGGATCTGATTTCAATTGAGGCGTTATATATGTTGTCTTGTTGATTTGTCCTGTCTGATTGTTAATTGTTGTGGATCGATGTGTTGATCCTGTTGTTGCACTGTTATGTTTTAATTGCACTGTAAACCGCATTGAGTCGCCTGTTAAGGGCTGAAAAATGCGGTATAAAAGTGAAGCAAATAAATAAATAAATAAATAAATAAACTCCTCTTTCCTTTAAAAATCACCAAGGCTCCTCCTGTACCAAAACTTTAAATTCATTTAAATCTCCTTTTCTACATTTCAAGGGTCAAAAACTGCATCTTGCCCTAAATTGCAGATTCTGCTACATATTTTACCTCTGACCTTTAACACAGAGGCCCCCTCTTCTGTCAATTTCTTGTAAAAACAACTCCAAATTCAAATGCTATCTTCCCTCATTGGAAAGATTTTCCTCTAAATTCCTTAAAAAACATCTTTAGCCCTTCATGGCTTGAAACAACAGCAAGCAACTTAGCAAGCTCCCACACCAGTGATCTTCGTCCCCCTCTCCATGCTCAAATTGTGACAGAGAGAGACGCTGTTTACCCGCCATGCTCTGCTCCGCGGGAAGGAGAGAGGTGGTGTATTCGGAGAGTGGCCGATCTGCACGGGAGCCGCCTGCTCACTTGGGGCTTCTTTCTCAAGGGAAGAAGAGGAAGAAGAAGGAGGGCGCTTTTGGAGTCTTGGATTTTGTCCCGGGCGTCAGGTTCTGCTGTAGGGAAAACAGGGATCTGGTCCTTGGCATTGTGCTTAGGGAAAGAAGTTTTGGCATTTCAGCATTTTGAAGTCATGGCGTTATGGAACTATCCGTTGGCAAGCGTCAGGAAAGCAGGGACTGGCCTAAGAAGAGGGGCTTCTCCAAGGAGGGAGAAAAGGAGATTTTTTTTATTATTTAAACTTATATGCCGCCACTCCCCTGGGGCTCAGAGCAGCTTACAAGAATGGCTAAAATCTAACACAATTTAAAACAATTTAAAAACAGCAATATCAAACATTAAAAGCCTGTCGAAACAGGTATGTTTACATGTCCTGCCTGCGGAAAGATGATAAGTCCCGCAAGGCATGGATGGCAATACTTGGATGCCTGAGGATGAATGCGTGTACATGTGGTGTGCATGTTGAGTGAAAATGTCATTCCCCTTTGTTTGTTTGTTAACCAACGTAATTGTAAATCCAAACTAGTTGCATGGAATCTGTATGTCTAAATGTTTTCCTGTAATCTGAAATACCCTCTCACACTGGAAATTGCAATAAAAAGAACCTATGCTTTAAAGTTACTGAAAAGTCATTCATGACACTGAGCCTTGTGTCACATTTGCTATATGAAAATCCCATAGACTTCTCCATTTGAAGCTCGACATTTTCCATCCGTTGTATTCTGTGTCTTACCTTCTATCACTTGGTAGATCTGACTCAAAACACCATTTCAGTCTTATTTTCTCCTATGCCCTTCTTCTATATAAATAAAAATGTAATGTTAGTTCGTGCTACCATCAGAACTCAAAAACCACTGGGGGAATTCACACCAAATTTGGACACAAGACACCTAACAGTCCAATTTATGTCCTCCACTCAAAAAAAAATGATTTTGTCATTTGGGAATTGTCGTTGCTGGGATTTATAGTTCACCTACAATCAAAGAGCATTCTGAACTCCACCAATGATGGAATTGAAAAAAACTTGGCACACAGCTCCCATGACCAACAGAAAAAACTGGAAAGGTTTGGTGGACATTGACCTTGAGTTTGGGAATTATAGTTCACCCACATCCAGAGAGCACTGTGGACCAGAGAACAATGATGGATCTATGTATTGTCGAAGTTCATGGCTGGAATCACTCAGTTCTTGTGGGTTTTTCCGGGCTATATGGCCATGTTCTAGAGGCATTTCTCCTGACGTTTCGCCTGCATCTATGGCAAGCATCCTCAGAGGTAGTGAGGTCTGCTGGAACTGGGAAAAAAGGGGTTTATATATCTGTGGAATGACCAGGGTGAGACAAAGGGCTTTTGTAAGTTGGGCTAGGTGTGAATCTTTCAACTGACCACCTTGATTAGCATACAATGGGCTGGCTGTGCCTGGAGCAAACTCTTCTTGAAAGGTGATTAGATGTCCCTGCCTGTTTTTCTCTCTGCTGTTTTTGCTGTTGCAATTTTAGAATTTTTTAATACTGGTAGCCAGATTTGTTCATTTTCATGGTTTCTTCCTTTCTGTTGAAATTGTCCACATGTTTGTGGATTTCAATGGCTTCTCTGTGTAGCCTGACATGGTGGTTGTGAGAGTGGTCCAGCATTTTTGTGTTCTCAAATAAAATTGTGTTCTCAAATAAAAGATTATAAGATCAATTCAGGGGTTGTTGTGGTTTCTAACCTTGAGTATGTTTTAATGGCTGTTAACTGGGAGTTTTAAAATACCATTTATATTTCATTCTGTTTTAATGTTTGCATATTTTTATATTTTAAGTTGTGTGCTGATGTTTTATGTTCTGCTGCTTTGAGTATCCGTGGGGGAAGATAAAGCAGGCTATAAATAAAATCATCATCATCATCTTTTGTTTCTTTCTTAACCAGGTAAATGGGGATTCTGTGGAGCCACCTCTTGGATGCAGTAAAGAATCCAATAATATAGGAAGAAGAAATCCTCTCAAGGTGATGATCTTGCAGAATTCTTCACCCCACAGATAAGAAAGAAAGAAGGAGTCAAGTATCTGCATTGCAATAAAATACCCTGTTGATATGGCGGAGAAACCCTATACATGCTTAGCCTGTGGACAGAGCTTCACCCACAGTTCAAGTCTACGTTCACATCAAAGGACTCACACTGGGGAGAAACCCTATAAATGCCTGGAGTGTGGACAGAGCTTCGCTCAGAGTGGAAATCTACGTACACATCAAAGGACTCACACTGGGGAGAAGCCCTTCAAATGCCTGGAGTGTGGAAAGAGTTTTGCTTGGAGCAAAAACCTACGTTCACATCAAAACACTCACACTGGGGAGAAACCCTATAAATGCCTGGAGTGTGGACAGAGCTTCACTGAGAATCGAGGACTACATAGACATCAAAGGACTCACACGGCAGAGAAACCGTATACATGCCTGGAGTGTGGACAGAGCTTCACTGTGAATGGAAGTCTACGTAGACATCAAAGGACTCACACTGGGGAGAAACCCTATACATGCCTGGAGTGTGGGCAGAGCTTCTCTGAGAATGGAAGCCTACGTAGACATCAAAGGACTCACACAGGGGAGAAACCCTATACATGCCTAGAGTGTGGAGAGAGCTTCAGTCAAAGTTCAGGTCTACGTTCACATCATAGGACTCACACTGGGGAGAAACCCTATACATGCCTGGAGTGTGGACAGAGCTTCACTGAGAATCAAGGACTACGCAGACATCAAAGGACTCACACTGGAGAGCAACCCTATAAATGCCTGGAGTGCGGAAAGAGCTTCACTGAGACTGGAAATCTACGTAAACATCAAATAACTCACACTGGGGAGAAACCCTACACATGCCTAGACTGTGGACAGAACTTCACCTGCATTTCAGGTTTACGTTCACATCAAAGGACTCACACTGGGGAAAAACCCTATAAATGCTTGGAGTGTGGACAGAGCTTCTCTGAGTCTGGAAGTCTACGTAGACATCAAAGGACTCACACTGGGGAGAAACCCTATACATGCCTAGAGTGTGGACAGATCTTCACCCACAATTCAGATCTACGTTCACATCAAAGGACTCACATTGGGGAGAAATCCTATACATGCCTAGAATGTGGAAAGAGCTTCACCCGCATTTCAGGTCTATGTTCACATCAACAGACTCACACTGGGGAGAAGTCCTATACATGCCTGGAGTGTGGGCAGAGCTTCTCTGAGAATGGAAACCTACGTAGACATCAAAGGACTCACACTGGGGAGAAACCCTATACATGCCTAGAGTGTGGAGAGAGCTTCACTCAAAGTTCAGGTCTACGTTCACATCAAAGGATTCACACTGGGGAGAAACCCTATTCATGCCTAGATTGTGGAAAGAGCTTCACTGAGAGTGGAAGTCTACGTAAACATCAAAGGATTCACACTGGGGAGAAACCCTATAAATGTCCGGAGTGTGGAAAGAGTTTTGGTAGGAGTGAAAACTTGCGTTCACATGAAAGGACTCACACTGGGGAGAAACCCTATAAATGCCTAGAGTGTGGCAAGAGTTTCACTCAGAGTGGAGGTCTACGTTCACATCAAAGGATTCACACTGGGGAGAAAGAGCTTTACTGAGCGTGGAAGTCTTCATAGACATCAAAGGACTCACACTGGGGAGAAACCCTATAAATGCCTGGAATGTGGAAAGAGTTTTGTTTGGAGTGAAACTCTATTTTCACATCGAAAAAACTCACACTAGAGAGAAACACAATACATGCCTGGAGTGGGGACAGAGCTTCACTCAAAGTTCACATCAAAGGAAACGCCAGTATAATATTAAGGCCTGCAATGACTAACTACTGGGGAGAATGTCATGAATGACTTTTCAATAACTTTGAAGCATAGGTTCTTTTTATTGCAATTTCCAGTTTGGGGGGGTATATCAGATTACAGAAAAACATTTAGACAAAAGTATGACATTGGACATACAGACATGCAAATTCTATGCAACTACACTGGACTTATAATTACATTGGTTAACAAACGAACAAAGGAGAATTACATTTCCACTCAACATTCACACCACATGCACACGTATTCATCCTCAGGCATTCAAATGTTACCATATCATTTTCTCCCTCCTTGGAGAAGCCCTTGTTAGGTCAGACCCCGCTTTCCTGCAGCCTGCCAACGTATAGTCCCAAAACTTCCATAGGGGGAGAGCCTTCTCCGTGGCCCCCCAACTCTGAAACTCATTGCCTGGAGAGATGAGGAAAGCCCCTACTTTAGGAACCTTCAAGAAGGATCTCAACACCTGGCTTTTCCGATGCGCTTTTGGGGAGTATCCACACAACCTGATGCTATTGCTCCCCTCAAGGCTTTTGTCCTTGGAGCCCCCCCCCCCCCCCCCCCGTTTACAACCCCGTCTGTCTCTCTCTGAGCAAGCGCTCCCTTGCCAGTAATCGGCTCCTTTGATCTCACCCTGAGTTTTCAATCCTTTTATTGTACATGCGGCCTGCTCACTGTCCTTGTGTGTTTGTTCATTGTACTCTTATGTTTTTCGTATATGGCTTATTATATTCATATGTTTTTGTATTTTACTGTGTTGTTTGCGTTTCGGTTTTTATTTTATTGTATCGTATTTTTTGAAATTCAATTTTGCAACATTGAATTTCCTGGCTTGATTTTTGGTTTTACTGGCACTCTTAATATTTATTTATTTATTTTATTTATTTATTTATTCCATTTGTATACCGCATTTATCAGCCTGAGGCGGCGACTCAATGCGGTTTACAATAAAAATAAGCAACACTGACAATATATAAGACACACATACACAAACAACACACATATAGTCATCAACGCCTCAATTAGAGTCAGATCCCGTTCTCACAGTCCTTTTTTCGTTCCTTGTTCAAATGCCGTCTTACTGAGTTAGTTGTCATTGCATAATTATCCAAATGCCTGCTCGTAGAGCCACGTCTTAACCCTCCTCCGAAACACCAGCAACGAAGGGGCCTGCCTGATGTCCACTGGTAGGGCATTCCATAGCCGAGGGGCCACCACTGAGAAGGCCCTGTCTCTCGTCCCCGCCAACCTCGCGACGCCGGCGGGACCGAGAGCAGGGCCTCCCCGGACGATCTTAAAGTCCTCACCGGTTCATAGGTGGAGATGCGTTCGGAGAGGTAGGTGGGGCCAGAACCGTGTAGGGCTTTATAGGCTAAAGCCAGCACCTTGAATTGTGCCCGGTAGCAGGATTGGCAGCCAGTGGAGCTGGCTCAACAGAGGAGTGGTATGCTCCCTGAGTGCCGCTCCCGTTAGCAACCTGGCTGCCGAGCGCTGGACCATCTGAAGCTTCCGGGCAGTCTTCAAGGGCAACCCCACGTAGAGCGCGTTGCAGTAATCTATGCGGGATGTGACAAGAGCGTGGACTACCGTGGCCAAGTCCGACTTCCCAAGATACGGGCGCAGCTGGCGCACGAGCCGAAGCTGTGCAAATGCTCCTCTGGAAACCGCTGAAACTTGGGGTTCCAAGCTTAGCGAAGAATCCAGAGTCACACCCAAGCTGCGAACCTGCGTCTTCAGGGGGAGTGCGACCCCGTCCAACACAGGCTGTAACCCTATACCCTGTTCGGCCTTCCGACTGACCAGGAGTACCTCTGTCTTGTCTGGATTGAGTTTCAATTTGTTCACCCTCATCCAGTCCGACACAGCAGCCAAGCACCGGTTCAGGACCTGGACAGCCTCCTTAGTAGCAGGTGGAAAGGAGTGACAGAGTTGCACATCATCTGCGTACAGATAACATCGTACTCCGAAACTCCGGATGATCTCGCCCAGCGGCTTCATGTAGATGTTAAACAACATGGGAGACAGTATTGAACCCTGAGGAACCCCACAAGACAAAGGTTGTGGGGTTGAACAGGAGTCTCCCAATAACACCATCTGAGACCGACCCTCGAGGAATGAGCGGAGCCACTGCAAGACAGTACCTCCAAGACCCATCCCCGCGAGGCGTCCCAGAAGGATACCGTGGTCGACGGTATCGAAGGCCGCTGAGGTCGAGCAGCACCAACAGGGACACACTCTTAATATTATTGTTAAATGAATTTATTGCCTGATTTGTATGATGTTTTTAAGATGTTTTTACTGTTTTAATTGTATTTTTGTGATGTATACATTGCAAGCATCGTTGATGCCTATGTGAGGCCGCCCTGAGTCCCCCGGGGGGGGGGGGGGGGGGGAGAAGGCCGGGATAGAAGAATAGGAAATAAATACATAAATAAACATTTTGTGATTCGCTGTCTGGCCTTGGCCTCATGTAAGCCGCCCCGAGTCCCCGTTGGGGGAGATGGTGGTGGGGTATAAATTAAGATTAGTATTATTATTTTGCTTGCTTGCTTGCATGCTGGTCGCTTCTGTGGCGAGAGAATCAGCAGTCTACGAAGACGTTGCCCACGGGACGCCCAGATGCACTGGAGCATTGCAGCACACCCAAATCCCTGGGAGTCACTCTGGACCGTGCTCTGACCTACAAGAAGCATTGCCTAAACATCAAGCAAAAAGTGGGTGCTAGAAACAATATCATATGAAAGCTGACTGGCACAACCTGGGGATCACAACCAGACACAGTGAAGACATCTGCCCTTGCGCTGTGCTACTCTGCTGCTGAGTATGCATGCCCAGTGGAACACATCTCACCACACTAAAACAGTAGATGTGGCTCTTAATGAGACATGCCGCATTATCACAGGGTGTCTGCGCCCTACACCACTGGAGAAATTACACTGCTTAGCCGGTATCGCACCACCTGACATCCGCCGGGAAGGAGCAGCCAATAGTGAAAGGACCAAGGCAGAGACATCTCCAGCTCATCCCCTGTTTGGGTATCAGCCAGCACGTCAACGACTTAAATCTAGACATAGTTTTCTAAGATTTACAGAGACACTCGCTGGAACACCTCAGCAAGCGAGAGTCCAAAAGTGGCAGGCTCAAACCCAGAACCTCAACCCATGGCTGATACCAAATGAGAGACTCGCCCCTGGGCACACAGAGTACTGGGCGACTTGGAAGGCGCTGAACAGACTGCGCTCTGGCACCACGAGATGCAGAGCCAACCTCAAGAAATGGGGCCACAAAGTGGAATCCTCGACATGCGAGTGTGGAGGAGAGCAAACCACTGACCACCTGCTGCAATGCACCCTGAGCCCTTCTTCCACATGATGCACAAGGGAGGACCTCCTTGCGGCAACACCAGAGGCGGCACTCCAAGGGGCCAGAGACTGTCAAAGGACATTTAATCAACTACCAAACTCAGTTTTTTGTATTTTGTCTGTTTGTTTGCTTTGTTCTGTTAGAAATGTAATATAATCGACTGGTTGCCCTGACACGATTAAATAAATAAATAATCATTCTAATCAAATAAACATAATTATACTGATAACATAATTAACAATTAAGACACAGACCCTGAGAAAATGATTAAAATACATAAATGCCACCATGGTTGTTCTTTCTCATGTGCCATAGCAACAGTGGAGTACAAATAAATTAGCCTGTACATGGCTGGAGTGTGGGCAGAGCGTTGCCCTGAGTGGAGATCTTACTTACTTAGGCGATCCCTCGTAGTCCAAGGATGATGGTCCTCCAAGTTCGGTGTCCTGGCGGTGGGTCCGTAGGTGACTGTGGAGCCCTATTCTTGATCTGCATCTTCTCCGCAGTGAGGGCATTGGTTTCCAGGTGGAAGGCGGTCCCAGTCAGTATTGGCTTGACGCACCTTCCTCTTGGCACGTTTCTCTCTTTCACCCTCTATTTGTACCTCTTCAAATTCTGCAGCACTGCTGGTCACAGCTGACCTCCAACTGGAGCGATCAAGGGCCAGGGCTTCACAGTTCTCAGTGTCTATGCCAGAGATTTTAAGGTTGGCTTTGAGCGTATCTTTAAATCTCTTTTCCTGCCCACCAACATTCCATTTTCCATTCTTGAGTTCGGAGTAGAGCAACTGCTTTGGGAGACAGTGGTCCACTGAGACAGGACATCTGCATACACATCAAAGGACCCACAGGGGAGAAACCTGATAAATGCCTAGAGCAGGGGTCGGGAACCTTTTTGACTCAGAGAGCCATGAAAGCAAAATATTTGGAAATTTATTTCAGTGAGAGCCATATAATATATTTTAAGACTGAATTCAACTAAATGTGAGTATAATAAGCCTCTGAATTTATTCTTTTAAATAATGTTGTTATAATACTCACCATTAATGCGACTTCTGGTGCTGCATGGATTTGCTGATGGCTTTGTAGTCTGGTTGGTACTTTCAGACTACATTTCCCGGCATCCCTTAGCCTGGAGGGCTATCGCGGGGCATGCCGGGAGCTGTAGTCAGGGCGAGAAGGGAGGCGGAAACGGCCTCGGTGCGGTGCAGTTCCCCCGGCGGCCCGAGAGGGGGCGTGGCGCGCTCCGCCCCTTTCCCTCCCTCGGCCAGAGCTTCGCTTCTCGGGCGCCGTAGCTGAAGAAAGGCCCCTCTCGCTCTCCCCTCTTCCCCGCTTTCCCTGCTCCGGGCCCGGCGAGGCCGCTACGCGAGGCCGGGGATCGGCGGAGGCGACTAGGCCGCAACGGGTCAAGGTGGGCTTTCGGTGGGGAAAAGATTCCCCGTTGCTTCCCTTCTCCCTTCCTTCCCTCCTCCCTTCCTTCGGGGCCTAATCAGCCAAAGGCGGGCTCAGTTCCTTTCCAAGGGAATACACGGGCGAGCCAGATGCACTCATCAAAAGAGCCACACCTGGCTCGCGAGCCATAGGTTCCCGACCCCTGGCCTAGAGTGTGGACAGAGCTTCACTCAGAATACATACACTTCAAAGGATTCACGTTGGGGAGAAACCCTAGACATGCCTGGAGTGTGGACAAAGCTTCAGGTCTATGTTCACATCAATGAACCCACACTGGGGAGAAACCCTAGAAACCCATAGCGTGTGAAAAGAGCTTCTCGGAGAGTTGAACTCTACATAGACACTGAATTCACACTGGAGAGAACGGTGGTACCTGACCCCAGAGACACTCTCTAAGACAGAGTTTTCCAAACTTTTAATGTTGTTAATACACTTTTTAGACATACATCCTTTTGTGACATGACCAATCAGTTTAACTAGCTTACCGGAGGGTAAACCAACCCCATGTAAGATGTTCTATCTATCTATCTATTAATGCTCTGTTCATTTTGAGTGACATCATAAGCCCTACACGGTTCCGGCCCCACTTACCTCTCCGAACGCATCTCCACCTACGAACCGACGAGGACCTTAAGATCGTCCGGGGAGGCCCTGCTCTCGGTCCCGCCGGCGTCACAAGCGCGGTTGGCGGGGACGAGAGACAGGGCCTTCTCGGTGGTGGCCCCTCGGCTATGG